CAGCGGGGCTTGCCCGCGCAGCCCTGTTTCCGATCAACGGGAGGGAGGGAAGGCAAAGGAAGAGTACACGGATTGATAAAACACTGAAATGTTAAGAAATAACAACTTTTCCCACACCTTGTATTCAAATCCCCTAAAGCTTTAGCAATATTAACTAACCGGCCCCAGATTCAGTGTCAACATGCGTTAGGGCAGCATTCCTACAGTACTTCTAACTTCATTGAGGCTCTTTTATCAACTGCTAACTTAATAATTATTATTTATTCGTGTTAGCTATTACATTAAAACCTGATGAGCTGGCTAGCACATCAACCTGATGCCAGAGCTGAGATTGGCAGTCTCAGCTTTCAAGTCCTTTTTGATCACATTATATTTCTGCTTCCCTTTATGGGAGTGAAAAACACCTGTGTTAAAAATAATATGGATAAGATGTCAGCTCTAGAAAGGCTTTTATCTGACACACTTGTAAATTAGCGAAATGGTTCTTGTTGACTGACAAGAGCTCTAAGTGAAGAGCAAAATAAATCATCTCACCTGACAGAAGTACACTTTTAAGAGTGCAGCACATACAGAAATAATCACACAAATGTCTTGTTCACCCTCTCATTTTCCCCATCAATGTACTATTGTGAATTTAAGACTGTAGACTGTGGTATATTTAGATATATAAAATGATCTATCTCCTTCCTACTTCATGTTCATCTGCCTGCTCTTAAAGGGTCTCCATAACACCGCCAGTTCTGTGCAGATTCCATATGACCCAGGAGCTATTTTAACCTTTGAACACAGTTTGCTCCTCTGTTCTAAATCTTAGTCTGGAGAACATCTGCTTGTGGTTGCAAAGGAACTTCGTAAAGACTGAGGGAAAAGGATGGAGGACCCACTGGAACACAAGGAACTGGCCACGAAACAGGCCTAAATCAGCAAAACTATGTACGTTGTGTCAGAGAATTATCTAATTATTTCAGGACACATGGTTCATTTTATCCTCATTGCTGCTTCCTGGCTCCACCCACTAAAGTTAGTTCAAAGCCCTGATCGAACAGCAGTGTATTTCTTATGCTCTTCTTCTTGATCTGCTATGTGCATTTATCATCTATCTTGATATGATTTGTTTTTCTTCTTGGCGGTTCTTTTAACTGAGTTCTCTTCTGTATTTTTTTCCTTTTAAATTAGTTAGAGCCTTTCATCCTAAATGCTTATATATAACTTTTTTTCTCTAGAAGCTGCAGAATCTTATATTTCTAATAACAATTTACTTAATATTTAAAATAGAAAAATATTAATTTCAAAATCTCTAATCCTGTTTGTATCACATTTTATTTATCAAATCATAAATGAAATATCTCTCTGTCAGTCTGCCATGTACTGGGATCTGATTTTTTCTAGATCATTGTCCACATCTTTTGCTACAATAACCACTAAAGAGCCAGGAAAGCCCTTTGATTGTATTAACTCATGTGCAAAGTGAAGCACTTGCAATTTAGAGGGCTGTACAATTGTTGAAAAGTATAAACTGTAAGGGAGCTCTGGAGATTGTCTAGTTCAACCTCTAGCAATGACCTCTAGCAAAACATATTTTTCCATGAGCGTATGATTCAAAGACGTTTGGATTACTGTATATTTGTGTCCTAATCCCCCATCCGCCTCAACAATTTCTCTTCCCAACTATCTCCCTTAAAACTACTCCACCCTCTGCCATAACCCATAGCCCCCAAACACCTCCTGTGGCTGTTACAGGCTAGTTGCCCACCAGATCCCTTAGCTTCTTCCTTTCACCAGGCCTTCCCCTTGCCTCCTAAATTTCAGTCTTCCATTTACGTGATCTCTCTTTTTTGTTACCTCCAGCAAAACTCTCCTGTCCAGGCAAAAAGCAGCACATACAGGGGAATGTCTATTTGTCCAGAGCTATGTGTGTGCATACAGGTTGGCTGGCTACTGGTGAAGGAGGGGGAAACAAATTATTTTGCAAGCTGCAAGGTATGTGGTTTGAAAACCTGAGATGAGAACACAATATTTTGGAATCCCTTGCTGATCTGTCAGAATTTATTGAAATTCACTAAAAGATTCTAAAAGTTTCAGGATGCACTGATATTTCAACAGACTGCATGATCATATGAATAAGAATAAAAATTTTGGAGCACCAAGTTAACTGCTTGTCATCACTCTAAAT